CAGTGGCCTTCGGTGACATTTTCTAGTGACAGCAGCGAAGATTCCAAAATTGCTTCCATAGGACCCACACAGCGATAGGTAACAGGGGACGTTATTAACTTCAACACAGAGCAATTTATTGAAATCCAACACTCCATTATTAAAATATTGGAATTTTTTTCCCTTTCCATCCCACTCATCACTCTAAATGAATCCACGTTCTCTTTTCTTTATCTCTTTCCCTATCCCCCAAAAAAGCCATCTGCTATTTCCTTTATGAAAAAAATAAAACCTACAATTAGTGTCTTGTTCATCTTTTCTTTTTCAAAAAAAGAGAACTATTATGCAAATACTCTGCAATTTGGTTTCAAATACCCTTTGTAGTGTGATGAGCAATTTTCCTTAATACAACCCCAGCTTTTTTGCCAGGACTTACTAATAGATTTTTTAAAAGAGAACTTTCATGTGACTTTTTTACACTCTTCTGATGTAAACTTTTCACAGGCATATTTAGAATGGAATTATCATTACTCCTTGAGTTGTAAAAGAAAAAAATTGTTTATGTATTTCACCCTGAAAAAGAAGCCTGAAATAACCCCTAAATCTTTCTTTTACCTTAAATTCCATCACCTTCTTTCTCAAGAAATGGTCTGTACCAAGTAATACTCTCAGGAAATCAGAGATATATGTTTTCTTTGGCTTTTTCGGAAAGCATATTATAAGTGATGGCAGTTTACCTTTTAATGCAAATTTATTGTTTGATTTTAGTTGCTCCTCAGGAAATATAGTACAATTTGATCCAATTCTTCAGGTGTTTGGAGGTGTCTTCTTGTTAACCAGATAAGCATCTACAGTGCGAAGTGCTGATGGAACTGAAATTTATTAAGTACAGTATCATAAGAAGAAGCAACTGCACTAAGAATCAGAAACCTTGAATCTTAAACCTGATCCTGGTACTTATCAAATATAACTTGGGCAGTAAGCCCACCCAGCTTTGGTTTTCTCCTTTCATAGCTGAGAATTACTACGTCCTTTGACTGCTTCTAGTGTTACAATGGGGATCAAACCACAACTGCAAGTTACTATGTTTGCAGTGGATTATAGATACATCTTAAGGCAATGTTCCAGAGGTCTGCAATTTTCATATTTCCTACAGTAGCTTCATCTGGAGAGCTTGCTACAAATGCAGATTCCCGATCTATTTCTAGCCCTGATTATCTGGGAGTGGGGCCAGGATAGCTACCTGTAATGATAATCCGGGGTGATTGTTACGCTCACAAAAGACTGAGAGCCACTAGAAGAGAAACAGAATAAATGAAATCAGTATAAATTTAACTTAATTAGATAATATCTAATTTGGTACTTAATTAAATTAGATATTTAATTTGATTACATGTTTTGCTTATCTGTTGGTGTATATGTGTGCATATCAAAATTTAGTGAAGGAACCCTCTGGTTTATACTTTTAATATTAATGTTAATAATTAATTAATAACAATACAATATTACTTGGCTAACATTACTGTCTGTACTCCCCTTATAACTACATGGATTTGCCTTATTTCAAATGTTTACTAAAATATAAAGTAAGTAAAACCAAAATGTTTTGACCTTTTAGATCCAAATGGAGCCCTATTCGTAGAAATGACTCAAATTTCTGGTCTTGCTGATCATGCAGAAACTCCAACCCCTAAAGGAGTCCCCCCATATAGTTTGGGCACTTCCTGGGTGCCTCATATGTACCTATAAACCAATGTCCCAGTCACAGTCTTCCTGTGATATTTGCAGTGTCCTTCCTTACTAGCCTGGCCCCCATGTGGAGATTCTCTCCTCGTTGAGCAGAAAGGCCCTCCACCTGGCACCGTGGACTGGTACCACCACTGACTGGCAGCACCTGAGGAAACCAGTGTCCTTGCCAGAGCAGTGCTCCGTGGGCTGCCCTTGCTGTTGTGGGCTGAGCAAGGAAGCATAGACACTGGTATTTTCCCCCGTTCTATGACTCTGGCTCCCTGGGGCCACTGAGGGAGGAAGGGGGAATTTGTAGCATCTACTTGGAAGCCATCTGGAAAACAACAATTTCAACTTCTGCTCACAGAGGCTCAAAAACAGTCTTTTGGATTGGGCCGACACCTTTTTACCAGCTTTTTGTTTCTGTTTGACCTTATCTCCCTTCTTTCTCAAAGACACTTGCCCATTTTGCCCCACTCGTCCTCGCTCAAAAAAGTAAAAGGTTATACCTCACCTAAGATGCTGGCTGAATCCAGTCAATCCATATACTCCATCAGACATACCCCATAATTGTCAATAATCTTTAGAGTCACCTGAAATCAACACCACTAAAACAGTAGTGGAGATTAAGAGTTAATAATGTCCTCTCAAATAGCTCTAAGGTAATAATAATAAAAATCAAATACTTTTATAAGGCAAATAATAAAAGACAGAAGTCTAGAGTGACTCTCCATTCCTTTTCCTGCTTGTTTTCCACTGCCCAAAGTAATCACTTACAATTTCTCAGCAATTTATTTTTTTCATATAATTCTGTTTCTAAATACTATGCTTACATTGTCAACTCTTGATTTTTCCATTTTATGCATCATATACTAACTTGTCACTAGGAGCAACAGGAATATACCTTTCACTTTCTTCCCATCACCCCCTTGCAGAATTATAGTATACCTCCCTTCCCTTCATTTTCCAGGATAGTAGTATGGTGTTTGCATATTTAAACATTCTGTATTTATGTCCTTATGCTTATGTAACTATTCCCAGTAATGCTTTATAATGAATACATGATTTTCTTTCTTGTGTATGTCTTGTACTGTACATCAAATCAATTTCTTCATTTTACTTTTGCTTAGGTTTCTGTGCATCAATCCTAATTTGACCTTCAACTTGTGCCAAAATTTAAAATGTATTTTAAACTCATTAGGTATTCTATCTTCTCCATCTTCTTGGATTACCTTTTCCAGATCACTATGTCTCACTCCATTCTGGTCTGACTGCTGTCTTGGTCTCTTATACAGTTTTTATTTTGGAATATCACTTCACTGTCATTTTCTGTTTCTTCAATTAAATGTACTCTTTTAATGGCTCCCTCTTATATAATGAACACATCTAACAGAGAAAGGAAGTATGTGAGATAAGTTTGTAGTTTTCTAAAGGTTTATTTATTTGGGGGAGGGGGAGAGCATATATGGGGGGAGAGCAGAGGGAGAGAATCTCAAGCAGACTCCCTGCTGAGCCCAGAGCCCAACACCAGGCTTGATCTCATGACCCTGTCATCATGACCTGAGCTGAAACCAGTCGTCCAACACTCAACTGAATGAGCCACCCAGACTCAGCCCCCTGAGATAAGTTTAATAACAGACATACCTGAACATATCTGTATATCCACCCACTTAATTGAAATTTTGCTGGATTTGGAATTTGAGGTTTAAACAGTGTTAAGCTTCAGAATTTTGAAGTCACAGCTCCATTTAGGAGAAGAAACTGGAAGGTGGCCCCAATTTTCTCCACATATAAATTCACATAATCCTGCTATTTTCATCAGAGTACTTCTCTTACCATTTTGCCTACTATCTGTAGTCCACAATCCTTTTGATAGAGGAATGGAGGTCTGTACTCTTAGGTGCCTCCTAAATACACTTTGAAATGATCCTGCTGATGTCAGTTTCTCCCTCCTGCTCCATTTGGAGAGATTTGTGGTGCTAACACTAATTGTGCCTTTGGTGGTGTACACATGTGGTCTGAATTGGATTTCTTCTCCGTTTTCCCTCCCTGCTACATTAGGGTTGAGGTGTCTTATGTATGCTGATTGGTTACGACTAGTAAGCCACATCCTGCTCCTGTTATTCTATCTTCATTGCCTCCTCTCCATGACTGTTGGTGTCTACCTCTTTATTGATTCCTTTATTGCTAGTATAGTGGAATTGAGAGGAAATGGAAGAAAATTTGTATATTCAATCTGCCATGACATCTTAACCAAAGGTCAATATAGCTTTCTGTCCTCAATTTTTTTTTGTTTTGAAAAATTCTAAAGTTACAGAAAATATTCAAGAATGCTACAATAAATAATAATCCTCATGGCTTCAGTGTAAACTGATAGATAATAAATTGCCATATATGTGCCACCCCCTGTGTGTGTGTGTGTGTGTGTGTGTGTGTGTGGTCCTATCTGTTTCAAATTGTAGTAAAGATACATAAAATACCTTTTAACTAGAGGCTAACTTTAGGATGCACTGCTTAACTATCGTTATGTCCAATTTTATCTTCATTAAACCAAAGTGACATGATTATGATAAAGAAATTAGAGCTGTTTTCTCACTTTATGAAATAATAAAGTTGGAGTAGACAATTTTTTATAGTCTCACTTAGCTTTCAAATTTTATGATTCTATGAATAATACATCACTTATAATTTTAGAAATGAAATAAATTTGAATAAAGATAAAGTTAGGGAATAAAATGTCTTATTAAAAGGCTTATTTTTCTGCATAAATCCACAATGGCATATTGCTTATAATTGTGTAAGTTTTGATATTTATAATTTATAAATTACACCTGTGTATGCTCTCTAAATCCATACTAATAATGGATGATTTAACTTTGGGTCACCTTTTACAATGTTCAAACAACTGCATTTGTATAGATTATTGTATTCTAGAACTAAAGACCAAAAATTAAAAATCCACAGTATAAGCTAGGATTCAGTATCAACTAATTTAGCAGTAAATAAAATCAAATATTATGCATATTGCAAAAGAGAAAACACTAATATTAATATTATATGCATTTAATTCTATAACATTTTCCATTTTAACAAAAGTGTAGTCTTTATTTTTCACTTAATTTTACTTGAGTTAAATCACTTTAAGAATATAATAGCTGCATTAATGTCTTTTCATTTTTAATTGATTCCATCGAATGAGTACATTTTCAAAATTATGATCAGCACCATTAATATAGAGCTACAAGGAAATTTGAGTTGAAATGATGGTGTTATTTATTAATTTTTTTTTATAGGAAGCTTTGATCATGGCAAGTATGGACCATCCACACTTAGTCCGGTTATTGGGTGTGTGTCTGAGCCCAACCATTCAGTTGGTTACACAGCTTATGCCCCATGGCTGCCTGTTGGACTATGTCCATGAACACAAGGATAACATTGGATCCCAGCTGTTGCTTAACTGGTGTGTCCAGATAGCTAAGGTAAGTATCCAACACTTCCCATGGAGATAACTCTCCTAGCTTGCTTTCTCCTATTCTAGGGTAGTATGGATATTGAAAATATGTTTAGTCTTTCAATAGATTTAAGTAAAATAAATTGCTTTTGCTATATTGGAAGGTATACGGAAGTCTTTGCATTCAAAGCACAGATCAAGCACATATTATACATCTTTGGATTACTTTACTGCCAACTGTGGTATATGGACCAGATGCAAAAACAAATAGCTTACTGGTCAGGAGAAAAAAAAAAAAGTTATACCAAATTTGTTTGGTTTTTGTTTTCTTTTTAAATATAATTTAAATAACAAAATCCAAGAAAACAAAGATTGAATGTCTGAATTGTTCCATTTTTAGATGATTTTATTAAGATAGTGGGTACATTCAGTTCTCTGTATTACAAATCAACAAGTTTTAAATATTTTCCTAGACATTTTGATAATTCTCAATTAGTCTTTAATGGTTGGGGGTTTGGGATCTTGCAAAGCATAGCATGTAATGTACATAACGGAGTGCCACGGATCTCAGCACCTGGGGTGATGGGGACGGGCATCTGTGATGAGCTGGAGAACACCTACTACTGCCCTCTATAGGACTGCATTTTTTTCCCACCAAAGTTATGCGGTCTTCCAATTTTTCAGAGGGGCCAGAATTCTGGATTTTTTTTTTTTTTAATGTGACTTCTCCAAATTTAAATCTTGGCTCAAACTTTTGAATTGTTCTGGAAGCCAAACAAAGCATTTATGTCCTGCAGTCCACCAGTGTGAAACTTCTGTTGTATACTTTTTATATCCAAATAACCCATTTATTTGTTTATCTCATATTTATTGATTATCTATACCAAGAGTATTTCTTGAAAATTTTCTCCTAGATAAATAGATCTGAGATGAGTTTTAATTCTGTGTTTCAACTTTTATTTATATCAAAATTTGACTTAATTTCAAAAACTGATTTATATATCTAAACTTCAGTGAATTGTAAGGTGAGCTAAACAGGCAATAGAAATTTTCAAATCATCCTAACACTATAGATGAAAACAAAAGTAAGGTTCAAATTTCTTTGCTGTTCTCTACATTTCCTACAGTGTTCTTCATAATTTAGGTTTTGTCCTTAGGGATTCATGACATTAATATATCATTTATGCAAGACTGTACACTCTAATAATAGAAACTACTTTGAGTTCCCAGAATAATCACACTGTTTTAAACCATTTTGCCTTTGTGACTGCCAGCCTTTCTGCTTAGAAATCTTTCCTCATAGCTCCTTGATCACATAACATGATCTTTTCCATCTATCAACACTGATTGGACTTCCTTCCCTTATAGAACCTTCCCTGCTCAACATTTTTCTCCAAACAGAAGCAACTTCTTCTGATTCTGTATTGGTTTTAGTCACTGGTATCCTAAACACATTTTTATTATTTAAATGTTATACTGAGTGTTTACAAAACTATCTGACTGTATGGAAAGTTTAGTTAGTCATTAATCTTTCAATAAAAATCTGTAGACACTTTCCATGTGTCAGGTACTATGCTGCCTGAAGTGTTTAGGGGCAAATAACAGGGACATGGGCATGGTTGTCTTTGTATACCCTAATGGCATGAATAGTCAACAGATGAAACAATTAAGTATAGGAGTATACTTAATACTTTGGTTCAGATTTTGAAGAAAAATAATTATAGGAGAGACTTAGGGCAAACACCATTAAGTCCTCGGAGAAGAGTTTGCTTATGGGAAGAAAATTTAGGCAGAGGAAAGATTCTACCAGAACCCTCTGGATATGGTGACCATGTAATTTATCATCCAACTGGGACAATTTTAGGAGTGAAAGAAGGCTCTTTCACTAGTTCCACCAAGACAGCAGGCACACAAATGTCCTAAACAAAGAAAGATGTGTGGGGGCCCTGTCTGATATGAAAAGTTTGGATTTTATTATAAATATAGTAGGTGTTGAAGTATTTTATGTTCTAATGAGATCATGCCCATTTATGTATGGAGATGAGAGCAAGGCAATCCAAGAATGGAAATGCAAATACCAGCCAGAAGTCTGGACGTAATGAAAACAGGAGAAGTAAATATGATTAGGATATATTATTGAGATAAATATAGGCATTTGTAATACTGATCAATTGTGGGGGAGTGTGGTGGTGGTGTTTCCTGAGCTGGTGAATACTGAGGAATTATAGAAAAAAAATTTGAGAGTTTAGTTCCAGAGATGGCAAATTGCAAAGGTTTATCGAACATGACACTGGGGCTTTCAATTAGGTAGTTGAATTTGGTTGGGACTCTTAATGTAGACTGAAGAGTTACAGGTATATAAATACATGGGAAAAGTTCTGATTACCTAGCTATTGACTCAGTCTGATTCATATTTCTTCCTAGCACCAGAAATTGGCATAGTAGCCATTCAGTAAACATTTAATAAATATTTTAACTCATAAAGAAAATGAAAAAATCTGCACATAAGGAGGGAACCCATCCTTTGTCTTTTTTCCTACTTCAGGGGCAGAATTGTGTAGTGGAAACAGCATTAGGGTCAGAAGGACCTACAGTAGTATGATGGTGATCACTTTTAAGTTTTGTGAGTTGAGTAAGTTAGCCTTTTTGGAATTTTGTTTCTCAGTGTATGAAGAGTTAATAATCACTACTTTTTTTTTTTTTCCCCGTATTTGCAAAATGAATATAATGGTATCCACCTCTGGTAGGCTGAAACTCCCTGTCCCCAAAGATGTTAAGTGCCATCCCCAGCATCTGTGAATAAGTTACTATAAATGTTAAAAGGGAATGTGTGAATGTTACTAAGTTAAGGACCTTGAGATGAGATTACCCTGGATCATCCAAATGGGCCTAATGTAATCTAAGAATCCTTATAAGTGGGAGTAAGTGAAGATAAAAAGATGGGAGTGATGTGCTTTGAAGATGGAGAAAGGGGCCACAAGCCAGAAAATAGAGTCTACCTCTAGAAATAAAATAGTTTCTCCCTATAAGGTCCAGGCCTGATACACCTTGATTTTATTCCAATTTATAAACCAACTCAGGACTTCTGATGTCCACAGCTGTAAGAAAATAAATTTGTATTGTTTTAAGGCATTAAATTTGTGGTAATTAGATACAGCCATAAAAAACTAATATACTTCCTCATAGTGGTTTGCAAAGATTAAATAAAACAGCCCAATGCAAGTTTATGGCTCAGCTCCTAGAACTTTCATCCCAGAATAAAGGAGAGTGTTTAAAAACACTCTCTTTTAATAGCTATAAGTTGAAAGCCTCAAAACAGAGAATTTTTTTTAAAGATCTTATTTATTTATTTGACAGAGAGAGATCACAAGTAGGCAGAGAGGCAGGCAGGAGGTGGAGGGAAAAAGGCTCCCCGCTGAGCAGAGAGCTGGATGTGGGGCTCCATCCCAGGACCCTGAGATCATGACCCAGGCCGAAGGCAGAAACCCAACCCACTGAGCCACCCAGGCGCCCCAACAGAGAACTATTTTTAAAATGTCTACAAAATATAAGTAAGATGGGCTTAGTAAACACAAGTACTTTACAAATCACTATTCCAGTAACTTAGATAAGCTTTTTCTTTGTTTTCAATTCTCTCCAAGAAAGGCTCATGAAAGTAAGCATCATAATTGCTCCAAGACCCACTTTGCTTTTGCTACATCCTTTCTTTCACTGATGAAGCTGGAAGGATTGGGGATGATACTGTAAAATGACTGATGTATGTTTGTGTTATAACATTCCTATGGAAAATACAACAGTAGGTAGGAAAATAATAATTATAGCTAACATCAAGCAGCTCTTATTCTTTGTAAATTATTACTGTGTATATTTTATTCATTAATTAATTTGTCTCATTACAAGCCTGTCATTATTATGACAACCTGAGGTGTCATTATTATTTTCATTTAACAGATAAAATAATAGAGAATGTAAGTTATTTGATTAAATTCACAAAGCTAGTAAATAAATAGTAGAACCACTAATCTATATTTTTATATATAAGGAGAAAAGATTTTTTTCAAATTTCACCCATATTCCATTGGTACATCATTCTACAAAATTTTATGTCATAGAAAACGCAAATTTAAACACTAAAATGGTTTTCTTCTTATAGGCAGCCATATTCACTCTGCATACACTGTATTTGGAACTTAATTTAATCTGGTAAGCAGAGCAGAATATACTATTATTTAATGCTCATGCAATGCAATATGCCTTCCTGGTGCTTTATGAATCCAGAATAGAAGATAATGATGAGAATTCCTTTTTTTGTCGTTGTTGCTAGCGAGTTGGGAAAGCAGTTTTTATGATAGCTTAGCAGACTCTGAAAAGTGTACATGAGTTTAGAGTGAAGAAACTTCGTGGTGAATAGCACCAATAATGACTGAGTACACATAGATAAAGCATGTCTTACACACCTGAGTACACGTAGATAAAGCACATCTCACCCACCCGACATCCTCTTGGTGCTTTGTGTACATTGTGTTAGTTAATCTTTACTGAAACTTTAGCAGGTAGGGCCCATTGTTCTCCCAGTTCATAAATGAGGAAAACAGGGGAAGTTATGTCCTAAGGGACAACATGACTGGGATGCCTGAATTCTAACAAGGGCCCATGTACCGTCCTCTCCAAACACATACATGCCACTACAGCTGAAAGCCCCTTGCTCTCTTCAACAGCACTTCTGAATATGAGGAGTGGTGAGAAGCATGGTGTCTGTAGTTGTGTCTCATCGTTAACCCCATAAAAGAAATGATCTTACCATGAATAATACTTTCCATTGTCTTCATGAGAATTTTTTTATTGCCTTACCATCAGCATCTATGTCACCTTTACAGGAGAAAGTACTAGAGAGCCATTCAATTTTGAAGGATTTTTTTGGAACCAAGTTTTACTTGTAAAATATTATAACAAAGCAAGCTCAAAACTGTTCTATGAACAATTATGCAGTATGAATACTGATCACAAGTGGCGCTATACATTAGGAAT